AATGTGATTTAAGTAAAACTAGATATTATAATAATCTCATGCTTTGATCTAACAATATGAAAGTGTATATAGATACATCTAGTTCCTTCATTCAACAAATAATTCATCCATTTACTTAAAAAAAAAAACAACAACAACTGAAGCACAACTTATTTAAATGTCAAGTGATGCTTCATTATGAAGCCCAATAGGTTAAAATAAATGTTTAAATGAAGTTTGATATAGTTCACTTAATAAAAAAAAACTATCATGCATTTCTTATGATTTACAACAAAATCTTTAATTATAAAATAGACTTTTTATTTTGTTATGATAAGATTTCATTAAATCAGTTTAACTCTCTAATAATTCCCTTTAAATGAAATCTTATGAAGTTCTGTGAATAAACATTATAAATACATGTCTACAAAGTGACATTTGGTCAAATAAAAAAGAAGCCTGATTTATGTGTTCAAAAGGAGATGGTTATTAATCTTCCTTCGTTATATCTTAATAATTTTTTTCTTTTTCTTTAAACTCTTTCTTGTATTTATTACACCATTGAGTTTTATTCCAACTATCTTATTTTATCAACTGAACTCTACTCATTTTATTCCTATCAAGGTTTATTTGTTTCTAACCCTTTGAACTGTTGTCACAATGTTCTTTCATCACATAAGGTATATATTTACAATATTCAGTCTATTAAATTTATTTACACCCTTGCTATACTATATGAATATGTCTTTAATATAACTTCCAATCATACTCTTTTATGTAAGTAATTTAAACCCATTAACTATGATTTTAAATATCACAGGTTGTAAGCAGCTGACGAGAACCAACGAAATAAAAATGAATTCATGCTATTCTGCTAGAATGTTTGTTCTTGCTCTTTTCAAAATGATAAAGGGAACTATGTGTATGAAATTTTGTGTTGTATAGAAGTGTGAAATGACGTATACTAATGTTTATTGAAGCCTTAGCCATACGAAAATTCAAATCCCCTTTGTGTGTTCAAAAACAGTTTGTTGTCACCTTAAACCTACCCTGGTAATATTGACTTATTATCCAGAGTAATTAGGTTACGAATTGTGTTCACATTATTATTATTATTACTCTTATCATTATCCTTATCTCCTCTTACCTCGTTTCCAGTCTAGTTGACCTTTTATTTTTATACAGAAATGCTCTTAACAAGTATATGTGTGATCAGATTGTTCGAAATGTATTGCGCTAATATATCACATAATTCTGATAATCTTCGTCTTCTAATTACATTATCGAAATAATATTCATCGAGTAGATACAATACGTTATAATTATATAATGACATATCAATCATAAATTAACATACAGTAATTGAAAGCAAGAGGATTATTAATAATAATCAAACTACTTATTCAAAAATCAAATAGTTGCTACGTTGCATAATATATAAAACAAAAAAAGAAAAGGAAGGAACTAATAAAATATTTTGATGAATGGTCAATAGTTTATATCTATCAAACATTGAGTAACTGACTAATTGAATAAGTAGTCAAATATAAGAAATCTTTCAATTTTAAATATCAGATTATACCTGAAGGAAAAATGATTGATTATTTTAAAGTATGATATTGGAAATTTACCTGTAATCAATCAACTATCAAAAATCAATAAATCAATAAATTATGTTATTATTATTTTTTTCAAAGAAGTTTCCATTGAACCTACTATAAATATTATTTTGTAAAGATTCATTAAAAAATAAAAAATAATAAAACAATTGAACTTGACAAGTGTAATAAAAAATAACAATAAAATAGACATGAATTCATTATATTTTATCAAGATCTTATTAATTGTTTACATTATGTAATCATTCAAAATTAAAATTATTAAAAAAACAACTGATGTTTAACATATTTATAGAAATGAACTTTCTTTTTAAATAAGAACTTTCGTCTAACTTTGAACGAATAGTTTCACAATATTTGGGCGCCGAGTTAATGTGAGTCATTAAAGAGGAAGAATGTATTTGTTAAAATCTCACCGAAACAATTTGAAAAAAGCTTGAACCAGATTGCCAGGCGAAACGTTGGATTTACTTCGAATTCTTTCGCTAAGATTTTAACAAATACATTCTTCCTCTTTAAGAACTTTCTTTTTGTTTGTTTTGTTCTTGTTTTTGGGAGTTATTAATAAGAACGCTTGTTATCATGGTGTAGTTGTAGAGGTCCCATGTTTCGAGTATAAGTGATAAGAGTTTCCAATACCAACAATCAGCGACGATCAGACATAACACATAGCATTCAAACAACAACAAGATATATCAATAGTAAAGATCTAAATAAAATTGATAAAACTAGATAAAATGTTTTTTAAAAAATGTAAATGATATAGCAATTGTTATCGGTTAATGAGGTAATGAAAAAATTACAAATGGTTAAATAATGAAATAAATGAAAATAAGTTAATGTTAGCTATGAACAACATATTCCAAACCTAATTACCCATAAATATATAATAATGCACTATAAAAGAGGAGAAAAATCATATGGTGATATAAATAAACGTAAATTAAAAAAAAAATCAATGTGATGTAGTACAATAATAGTTATGTTACCATAGAAAATAAAATAAAAACTGAGAACTATTTTGTTTTATGTAAATAAATCAGATTTCAAGTATTTTCACAAATATGAGAAAACGAAATTTTGATAGTTTATTAATCACATTTCAAAAGTTTCAAAAGTAACTATATTAATACGATGTATGTAAACTGAATAATTGAAAGGACTACAATTAGAATAATATGAAGTTCAAAGTTATAAATAGTCTTTAATGAAGTTTGTTATTTTATGATCGTTTGATATTTCGATTATCATTATCGTAAGGAGTTTATCAAAGAATATTTCGTTTAAATGACATCTAAAAGATAGTGTTTTACACATATTAAAAATTATTCATTGGGAATTAAAAGTTGCTTAACTCTACTACATATATTCACTTGGTATTGTTTGGCTTGTATCTTCCCATTTAGGTTTAAGACTGCAGTTGGTCAGTCTGTTATTGGCATATGTGGATACTGTGCGTATGCCTCGATATTACCTTAATTCGCAAGCTATTTGTAGGCAATAATGGATAGTGGCTAGCAGTGGAATCTAGGACGCGCGTTTCGTCCCATTTGGGGCTCGTCAGTTGGATGTGCCTGCATCTCAGAGAGTTGATGTTCACTCTGGGACTCGAACCCAATACCATTCGCTTCAAACGCTATTGCGTTATCCACTCAGCTACATATAGACTTGTATACATTTATTGATTCTATCTTAAAGTAAATTATAATGCAAGTTAGTGGAAGATAACGTTGATATTTGTAAACCGCTGAACTAATCCGACTTACTGTTTTTATATAAAGAAAAAAGTGCATAACATAGTGTAATACAAACACAACGGCCATTAAATCATATTGTTTTATGACTACATTATGTTGTATATCGTGTACAAACTTTTTAATGTATTGTCATTATTCTACCATTTAAGCTTGGGGATAGTAAATGAGGCTAATACACAATGATTGTAACTGTGTTCAATTTTACATTATTCTTAATAGACCAGTGTGATTCTCTTCAAATTTACCATTGAGAACAAATAATTTTGAAGTTTATTACCCTTGATACTATAATAAGTATTAGAATTTATATTGTTCTAAATATCCATTAGAAATATATGTTAATCGAATAAATATTCTTCCATCATGGTTCTATATTAATTACATAATGGGTTTTACAATTTAGCATAAAATTATTATAACTGGTTTTGATTCATTTTAATGAAGTAACTCAATATTTCCTCTAAATTTATTAGTTAGTCGGTAACACAGCAGATGCAAAATTAAATCTCAAGATAATATTAAATAATCGGACAGTATTTTTAGTTCACATGGGATCCATTAAAACGTCACTGATATTTTTAAAGATGTTTCTGTATTAACCATTACTAACTTTTCCAGGAAGTGAATTTACAATCTATTAATTATAGGGTTTGAAGAAAAACCTTTAAAAATGTCCTGAAAATAGCTTAGATTTTCATTATCATCAATTTATGATATTATTGTTATATATATATATAACTGGTTCCAATGTATTTTTCATTTCAGATATTTCACTATTAAAATCTTAAAGCGATCACACTATACCGTTTTTATCTGTGCAACATAAATAGTCGTTATTTCAGTAACATCTACAAATCTCTGATTAATGTGATTGCTTCATAGAAAAAAAATCATATTTATACTGAACTGAATAGATAATGACTTATGGATTTTCATGACCTTGTTCATATGTTTGTCACTAAATGATACTTAAGATCTATCATCTTTTGGTACCATAACTTTTCTGAAATGTTTATGACTAGAAAGAGAAAGGGTTATGTAGAATGGAAATATCTGATCATTGGAATGCATACAAGGGACTATTTTTTTATAACACATAGAAAAAATGTTACGATTGTTTTTAAACATTAGTCTTCCTGACGTTCGTACTTGCCAGTGATAGAGACAGTCGTAAAACAAGGCCTACTGACATTCAAGATAAAATACATGCAACAGTTTACTGCTGTAGAATGGAATGTAGTGTTTAAAGTAGCTGGTTATTGAAACACTTAGTGTATTCACTCTCGAGTTAGCTTATCTACATAACTCTTTGGTCATCTGCCATTATATTGACAAATTTACTGCTGAAATGAAAAAGATATGTAACTGAACTGAGTGAGACAAATGGCTAAATAACGTAGTGTTTCCAGTTAAAAATCTCTGTAAAATTACCAGTTATTAATCGGGGTTGTTTTCAACATGAATCTTTAAACAATAAACTAAGCTTAATTATTTAAAAGAGTTCATTGTGTTAAGACTCAATGAAAGCCAAAATGGTAAGGTCGACATATACGATACATATAAACCTAATTCATTAATGCAAACGTCAACTTATCACGTCAGAAGGATCTAGAGATGAATTTGAACTTTTTTATATCTTTTATAGGCACAGGAACCTTTGGTCGTGTAATTGTGGTTCATGATAAATGTTCACAACAATACTATGCATTGAAAGTGTTGATAATCGAGGAATTGGTACGACTGAAACAGGTAGAACACGTCAAGAACGAAAAGTCGATACTAATGCAATTAAATCATCCTTTTATTGTAAAACTGTAAGTTTTTAAAACCCTATTTACTCGTTGTTTGATAGCTATTCGGTATATCGTGAAAACGATAGATTTCTTTTGTGCTATATATATAACTCATTATGTAAACTGGTAGAATGAATATAAAGGAACCTATGCAAGAAGTAATACTGATAGGTTTCGAAAGGTATTTTTTATCAAGGATAATCAGAATTCAATCGATAACTGGTGTACAATAAATATTTTACCGAATTCCCAGACATTTCAACGAACTCTTGATGCCGAATAGTTTTATCATATAGATAAATTGGTTGTAAAAGGCATATGAAAAAATGTGTTTCTTAACTTCATTATCACAGATGAAATGCTAGTAATTAAACTAGGTCGACTCATAGAATACAGGAATCATTTGCTTTGATTTCATTCCCATAGTAGTAGAATTACACTGTTTACCTGTTTTTCTATGTATATTTGGTTTGCATGCTATATATATGGTAGTTGAACACTTAGAATTATATGATCCCTCGAGTTATTTATTTCAACCTTCTTTATTTACTAATAATTATCGTCACTATTTGTCTTAGATATCCAGAATAAATATTTGTATGTAAAACATCTAGAATAATTTAAAAAGAGTTATAACAATTCCTAAATAACCTCTTATCATGTCACAACAATTGACAATGAATCATTGTTTTTGTTGTGCCAGGATCAGCGTAAATTTATTCACTAAAGGTGAAACAAGTGGAGTATTCCCAGCCAGAACAAACGTTTTGCTGATTATGAATTTCTGGCAATAAGTAATTCATATTTAAAACAATTAGTCCCTTTTATAAATTTCGATAATGTAATTAGAAAACGGAAATTATCAGAACTATGTGATATTTCATGTTTTCTTTTCCTCCCAGACGAAACTTGGTACTACTTTAATCACTTAAGTAGATACGTCATCTGTCTATTCAAAATCAAAGTAAACTAAAATTTGTTTTCACAATGAGATCACTGGATCTATATAAAATAAAATCTTGCCAAATATTAAGAACATGCATATCTTTTTCAGGAGATATTTAAAGCCGGACAAGTTTGTTAAAAAACACAATCTCTTCCATATCTAAAATATTACCTAAATAAATAAGTAAAACAAAATTGCACAAACATTGTCAAGAAATAAAATATCGAATGCAATACTACAGGTGAATTAGATGTTAAGTATTTTGAAAGCATAAGTAGCTTGATATTTCCAATGAAAAAGCCTATTATTAATGGTTGAATTTTATGTTTTAATGTGTTCTTTCCAGTTTCAGGCATTACATTAACTTTTTGTATTGTTTATTAAGTTTACAATCATGTGTTAGTTTCTTTTTTGAATCATTCCTTGTTTACTATGAAAATTAAGTTAAAATTTCTAAGATGTTTATAGGCAATTCATTTTGTAGTTTATATTGTTTTAAAAGGGTAATCTCATTCATTTTTGCCTCATATTATTCCATAAGAAGAGAAAAATGAGTAAACTAGAAAATTCCGACTAAATAATTAATAAAAAGAAAATAACATGTATGCAACTGTGGCTTAGAAATAACCGTTTTGTTTAAAACATAATGGTTGATATTTTTACTTAATGTAAAACTATTCATTTTATTAGTGGCATCCATCACAGGTTTCACATTTTGATTAGACGATAAGAAATTTGACAAAGTAACATAACGAGATAATGGAGCATAAACCATTTTCGCTAAATGCATTTCTTATTGAACAGATATAGTTTCCCAGTCAGTTACGAAAGTAATTGTGGTCAAATTATGACTTTAAATGAAATTTATTTGCTCATCAAAACAATAAACATTCGAAACTTAGTAAATTGATCATCTACTTGATACACAGACTAGAAAGTTGATTATATTACAAGCATTATGTGAATTAAAAATTAACGAATTAACGAACTAATGTCTGATACTATTTAAAAAATCATGAAAGAGAGGTTTTATTACAAGTTATCAGTTAAAAATCATGTAAAATGATTTTAGTAATTATATTTATGTTAAAGTCAACAGCCAACGCCATCACAAAGAATATTTTTGTTAAAACACTTGATATCTCAGGTAAGGTATATATAGCCATTTTAGACACTAACGTGTATCACTACAATGGGGCAATTTGTTCTGTACGTATATAGGTCAACCCAAATCAGTTAACATTACATTATCTAAACCTTAGATGAAATTATAATACGATATCGAGATAAGAAGTCTAGTACCATATTTGACAATAATTAGTCTTAATCAGTTAGCTGTAGAGGTTGGTATGTCATTGCATAATGTAACCTCCAGAATATAATTATTGTTTTCAGTTTATTGTTATAATAAAATAATAGCCACCATAGATGTTCAGTGATGATTTTCACTTATAATCAAAAGGGAGTCATGTTTATACCACTGAATTACCTTGAGTTTCCTTTTCTTTCTTACGGATTTATTCAATTCATGAAATCTCCAACTAAGTATTCCTTCTGATTAGCTTTATACACTCAACGACAACTCATATTTTAATTTAAAACTATGAAAATACTTTAGTACAAAGTGTGAGAATTACTGAGGCGGATAAAAAAATCTTTAACCCAATCAAAATGGTCATAACTTTCTATGTAATAAATTACTCATCACCTTTTTCCTTATATAGGTGTAAAAATTTAGACGATCCAATTTCTTCTTCGAACGTTACTAATGAGTGAAATGGTTTATATTTATGAAATCAATATTATTCTAATTTATCCATAGATTACATAGTTTATTAGTTTAAAAGAAAAACCATGAAAGTTTATTCACAATTTCAAATAAAAGAATATTTTTCAGGTCATTAGGAATAAAACTTAAAACGAGATATCAAGTATCATTCAGATAGTGAATATTGATCTAAAGCAATTTAGAAAAAAAAATATTTAGTTTACTGATAGATTTGACCTTGACACTTAACAACAATATGATTCGTTAATATCTAAGATAAAGGAAAGCTAGAATCCAATGTTTTTAACTAGTTTATCCGATGAAATAATCTATGTTGATAAGTTCATTTCATGATGATGATAATTATTTAATACTATTACTAATCTTGAACTTTACTTGAATAAAAAAGGCTCACATTGTAATTTTTACTTTGATAAAACAATGTATTTTCCAAAGTAGAAATCTTAATATCTGAAATAATGTTCTTTGGTGAATAAATTGTTGACTGATATTAATGACCAAACATTGATGACCTGGTAAATATTTCTCCATGTATACACGAAAACATATCTAATTGTTTCAGTAAACTATTCATGACCACCTCCAACCACCATCTTATCTCAACATAGTGCACGCAATGTTGAGTCACCTAGACTAGTGGCCACATTACAACTTGGTCGATAGCATTAGATCCTCACTAAGAAGAACTTGACACACATGAAATTGATCAACACCCAGTGATCAATAAAGTGTGACTACATTTCAGTCTTACGGGAGGTAGGTCGCAGCCCGGATAGCTCAGTGGTAACACTTCTGACTGTGAAGCTGGGTGAGATTACAGGTACACCTTGCTGACGAGTGCCAGGTAGCACAAAACTCGGGTCCAGGGTTTCCTGTTGACTACCTCCAACCACCATCTTATTCATGGACCTAAACAATTCATAAAGGTTCAGAATTAAGACACCATTTAAGTATAAAAAAAATAAAGTATATACATACTAAAACTGTAATCTGACAAGTCCTTATTTTAGTGGAAATTTTATTATACACAGTGGTTTTCACATTGTTTTTTGTGTATTTTTTGATTATTTTTATTTACCTTTCATTTTATCTAGTTAACATTTTATTTTTCATATATAATATCTTAACAAGTATATGCATGATCGGATAGTTCAAATGTATTGTGCAAATATATCACATAATTCTGATAGTCTTCCTTATCTCATTGCATTGTCGAATTATGTACACAATTTCCTAGAGCTATAATATTTTGTATGTTTCTCTCAAAGTGGTAAAACATATGTGTAGTTTCAATAAATAACTCTTAATTTCTTCTTACTTTGAAAATCTTAAGCTATTTTGGTTGTTTTCTTTTGATTTTATCAATTTTTACGTCTCTTATTAAATGCATTTGCAATATAAGTGACTGTATTTTACAACTGAAAGTCACTAGATTAATTTTATACTAACAATGTCTTGAAAAAAATGAAAAAAAACTAATTTATTGGTTGTATATCGATGAGAACTATTGTTTATAATTTCGAAATCTATTGAAATAGAGTAGTGAATTTACATTTAGATTATGTAATCAGAAGTAAATTTAGGTTACCATTGTCGTACGATAACTTTGTTAAAAATAGTTGAAAATATCGAATATATAAATGTTTTTGATTAAGATCATGGACCGATTGATGTTAAGCCATCATTGAAAACCTGGAAGAACTGGAAGGCAGTTTCGTCTTATTGTGGGACTCCTCAGCAGTGCACATCCACGATCCCGCTCGCGAACTTCGAACCCACTAGCTAGCTTCGTGACGGGATTCTCGGAGTTCTAGTGAGAAGCCGTGACCGGTGGAGCTAATCCGTGTCGAGTAGAGACAGGTATCTACCTCAGTACAATGGAAGAGGGTCGCGCAATTTCGTGGGTTGGTTGAGGGTAGACATTAACATCATTGAATGCCGGCTCAGTGGTCCAGTAGGTTAAGCGATCGCGCGCGAAACTGAAGGCCCTAGATTCGAACCCCGCGAGCGGGATCGTGGATTGGTATTGCTGAGGATTCCCTTAATAGGACGAAATGGCCGTTCAGCGCTTCCAAGTTTCCAACGGTGGCCTAAAATTAATAGGTTCATGATCTCAATAAAAAGCTTAATAATATCCACAACCCTTATACTGACATAAATGTTTCTTGTGACTCTTATGGAAGCCAATGATCATTTTTAAATATCTGAAAAAAATTAAATCAAACTAATCCATATGAGAAAAATATGTTTTTTCTATTACAGCTTAAGATGGACTAAAATTTATAT